AAGATGGACACCACCTTCAGCAGCTGGTCGGGCGAGCAGCTGAGGCTCTTCATGAAGGAAGCTTCATCTTTTATCTTAGGACAAACAACAAGTGTAAAAACTTTAAAGCATAAACAAAGAAAATGGAATACAGTCCTATTTAATGCCCACTTGCACAACTTACCTGCATTTCCTCATTCTCATCAACCAGAAGAAAGCTTGATACCTTCTCCAGAAGTTTAGCCTTCTGAGATTTGGTCTCATCGGCTATACAGACAGCAGGCTGGGCAGATGTTTGGACAGAGTTGCCTTCTGCAGGTTTGGGTGGTGGAGGATAATGTGTAAGCTGGTGTTTCTTCTTGTTGCCTCCACTGTGGGTACGTTTCTGACAGTCCTGACACAGGTTAACTTTGCAGTTCTGGCAACGGACCACAGACCGATGGCGCGTGCCACTATCCCCACTACCTCCTTTACAGTTGTCACAGTATGGGACATGTCCAGGACCTAGCTGGACCCGCTTGTGGTTCTTTAGCCGGTCATGACTATGGAGGTCGAGCTCACAGCGAACACACTGCAGGCTTTTGCAATCAACACACTCAAATGCCGCCTCCTCAGAGCCACCACAGGAATAACTCTCCTGACATATCAGACTAGTATTGACTCCCTTTTCTGAAGATGAGCCATACCCATTCATCGTTTCTTAAGGAGTGAGCTTGAATACAGACTGGCGCTTATTGGAACAGCTTTGACAACAGCACCAGCTACTTCCAATAGCAGTTAATGAAAAATGCACAGTGCAGTAATACTGAAAAACTCAAATACAATGAAATAAACTTAAGACAGCTGCATGATAACAGGGCAGCTATCACACTGATTTAATACAAAGTTTAAACACTGATGTAAGTGATCAAATTAGTTTTAGCGGTATGAAATTCAGACACCTAAACGGGTTGATCTAATGCCATTTAGTGCACCTAACAAAGGCAGTGAAGTAAAAACCGTCGTCTTCTTCAGTAACGTTTAATATCCTTTGATCCTGTTAGCTTGTTCATGCATTAAAGTTAGCATTTAGCAGCAATATTACCTAAAATATATATCTAAGGCAAGAAAGAAACAGTTAGGTAACACATAAGTGTGTACAGGTAACCAGTACCTAACGACACAAAGAACCCTCCTTGGGGAAAAAAAAATACCAAAACAAAAATGAGCAAATGTTAATGCTAACAACAGGCTAACTAGCAAGCTGACCCTCTGTGGGTCTATACCTTGCAAATTCAGTAAATTACTTGGCAACCAAATGTGAACAGCTAGCTTAGAGCTAGCTACTTTAGCCGGACAATTTCAACTTTTCCCCCCCACCTCAAACAAAAGCTGCAATTAGCGAGCCAGCAAACCACCACAGCTCACAGCCGTCCAAGCAAGCAGCTAGCCTCCAGTCTGTCAACTAAACAGCAACAACATATCAACAAACAACAGCTAGTCGATGTCAAAAGCTCGAATATCTGTGGGCTCTTTCACTAAACACCGGGAGGGAAATCGGCGCGATTCGGTTTTAAAAGTCTTTAGAAGAGTTACTGTATTTAAATTCTTCCAAGCAGTGTCATTGTTTTGTTCTTCAGCCCCCCTCCCTGATAGATTGCTCTAGCTACGTTATTTTGTTGCCAGGTCAGATCAGCTGATCAGATTATTTTCAGTCACAGGGTCAGAGCAGGGTGACGCCACGTTGCATCATGGGAAACGTAGTTCTTGCTAATAGTTTGCTCTGTTTACATTCTGTGCAACTCCTAAAAGCTCACATATTAAAACGTTTCTTTTTGAATTTTTTGTATAATATAATATAATATAATATAATATAATATAATATAATATAATATAATATAATATAATATAATATAATATAATATAATATAATATAGCCGGCGAGCACTGTGAGGGTCATGTTTTTTGACTTTTCCAGTGCTTTCAACACCATCAGGCCGACCCTCCTGGGTGATAAGTTAGCAGCGATGCAGGTGGATGCTTCTCTGGTGTCCTGGATTGTTGATTACCTGACAGGAAGACCACAATATGTACGTCTCCCACAGTGTGTGTCTGACAAGGTGATTAGCAACACAGGGGCACCACAGGGGACTGTCCTCTCCCCCTTCCTCTTCACCCTCTACACCACAGACTTCAGCCACTGCACAGAGACCTGCCATCTTCAGAAGTTTTCTGATGACTCTGCGGTGGTTGGATGCATCAGCAGGGATGATGAGACAGAGTACCGGGCTGTGGTCGACTCCTTTGTCACGTGGTGTGAGCAGAATCATCTGCAGCTCAACGTGGCAAAGACCAAGGAACTGATCGTGGACTTCAGGAAGACCAGGAAACACTTGACCCCTGTTTCAATCCAGGGGGTCAGTGTTGACATTGTGGAGGACTATAAATACCTTGGAGTACACATTGACAATAAACTGGACTAGGCTAAAAACACCACAGCACTTTATAGGAAGGGCCAGAGTCGTCTCTATTTCTTGAGGCGACTGAGGTCCTTCAACATCTGCCAGAAAATGCTGAGGATTTTCTATGAGTCTGTGGTGGCCAGTGCGATCCTCTATGCTGTTGCATGCTGGGGGAGCAGGCTGAGGGTCGCAGATGCCAACAGACTTAATAAACTGATCCGTAAGGCCAGCAATGTTGTGGGGATGGAGCTGGACTCCCTCAAGGTGGTGTCGGAGAGGCGGATGCTGTCCAAGATAAAGACAATGTTGGATAACACCTCCCACCCACTCCATGACATGTTGGTCAGTCACAGGAGCTCGTTCAGTGAGAGACTGAGATTACCGAAAAGCACCACTGAACGACACAGGAAATCATTCCTGCCTGTGGCTCCCTGTACAACGCATCCACTTAACACACTGTTTGCTGCTAGAACTACACATGTTTCTTTTCCAACTATTTATTTATAAGTGACTTATGTATGTATGTATATATATGTATATATTGTACTATTCTTAGTTAGCGTATTGTCTGTCTTGTCTTAATGTTGGTTTAAAATGGAGCACTGTAACAAAAAATAATTTCCCCCAGGGATCAATAAAGTATTCTGATTCTGATTCTGATTCTGATAATATAATATAAACAAAGTTTTAAAAAAAAAGTCCAGAAGAGAGGAGAGAATCAGTGAGCAGCAGTATGACTTCATGCCAAAAAAAGAACACTACAATGTGATGTTTGCTTTGAGAGTGTTGATGGAGGAGTATAGAGAAGGTGGTAAGAAATTGCACTGTGTCTTTGTGGATCTAGAGAAAGCTGATAGGCAGGTACCAAAAGAGGAACTGTGGTACTACATGAGGAAGTCAGGAATGGCAGACAAGTATGTGAGGGTTGTGCAGGGACATGACAAGGACAGGAAGAGAGTGGTGAGGTGTGCAGTAGGAGTGACAGATGGCTTCAAGGTGGGGATAGGATCGGCTGTGAGCCCCTTCTTGTTTGTAGTGGAGACGGACAGGCTGACAGATGAGGTGAGGCAGGAGTCTGCATGAACTGTAACATTTGCAGATAACACTGAGGTCTGCAAGAGATGATATCTACTGGATATAAATATGGATATAAACTGGATATAAATATGGATATAAATATGGATATAAATGTCATATAGACCAGGTGTGTCAAACATAAAGCAAAAACTCCAATTTGGCCCAAAAAGTTATATTTCTGTAATTTTACAATTTAAGTCCAAAGAGTAATGTTGGCAGATTTCATTAGTCAACCACAGCATTTCTTTATCAAGTAGAAAAACTGAAACATACTCTTGAAATTGCACTTCTTTTTATTATATTCACATACTGCAGGGATTAATTAATTTGGGATTTCTCCCAAAGACAAGAACTAACAGACTTAAAAACTCCTTTGTCCCACACGCCATCAGACTGTTTAACTCCTCTCTGGAGGGGAGAGGGAGGGGAAACAGGAGGACAAAGGAGGGAACAACTAAGCTGTAGTGCCTCTTCACTTCACTGTGCAATACTTTTGTTAATAGTCAACGGTGCAATAGACTTGAAATGTGCAATTTCACTTGTATTTTTATTCCTATTTATTCTATTTATCCCCTTTGTATATTTTATGTATATATGTCTCTGTATTTATATATGTGTATATATATATATAATATTCTGTAACTCTGTAACTTCTGTCGGTGCTGTGCTTTTTTGGAAACCGAATTTCCCAGAGGAACCCACCCGAGGGATTAATAAAGTTTTATCTTATCTTATCTCTCTCTTATCTTAAAAGTGCATTTAAATTACCGTACACTGACAGAACAACCAGTTGGTCTAGCCCATGGTCTACGATAATGTCCTGTTAAGCACAACATTGTGAAAAGCTCTAAATATCTCTTTAAATTAATATCTAATCCAAATCTACCTGTTGCTTCTAGTTGGCCAAATCTTATCCTTAATCTAATCACTGAAATTAAAACTCCATTACCAATCATCGCCATAGCTAGGAAAATGTGGGTGGGTATTTTAAAAGTAGGTTTGGGAAACAAGTCCCATCATCAGGCTTCAGGCTCAGGATGGATTTAAATGGCTTTTATCTTGTAAAGTAGCACTTCAAAGCAGCAGCAGGGGACCATTTGTCCTAAATGCCAGTCTGCGCTTTCCCTCCGTTTCTTCACTGACAGTAACTTCTAAAGGCAAATCCTTAAATTTGATGTTGTCTTTTTGAAAGCAAGCAAATCACAACCACTGCATTTCTTAATCCATTTATTACAAAACTTACCTAGCACACAGAAATATAAATAATAACAACAACAGCCAAAATATGAAACAAGAAACACAAAGGTATAAAGAGAGGAAGTGTAGCTGGCTGAAGTCACCGTTTGTCCGGTTTGTCACATTTCACACAAAGATGGAGATTTTGAGATCAGTTCTTTAAATCCACAGCCCACAATTTGTAGACAGACACTTTGTTTAAAAAAACAAAAATCATGGTTTGTTACGGTCGAGTGAGGATACCCGCTCTGCACTTTGGATTTCAGATCACAAGAATCTAAAGATTTTCCTCCATCCACCATCATAAAGAGACTTTAAACTGTTAAGCAAACTGAGCTTTTTGTATTTAGTGCCACCGTGCTTGTGCTTAATGGCAGCAAATACAGCACAGTCAAAGGCGTCTTTAAGGTTGTGCTGTGTGAGAGCCGAGCACTCCACGTAGTCATGAGCTCTGATCCTGCTCGCGAGCCGTCTGGCCTTGTTAAAGAGCACCGGTCTGGTGCCCCGCTGGTTCAGATGAATGAGGACGTCCACACTGTGTCGAAGGTCTGACTGAGTTCCAACCAGAACGATGGGGGAGATTGGGTTGGCGGCTCGAATCTGTGGGATCCATTTGGAGGTGATATTGTCAAATGAGATGGGGTTGACGAGGCTGAAGCAGAGGATGAAGACGTCCACATGGGCATAGCACAGAGAGCGCAGATGGCCAAACATCTCCTGATAGATCAAACATTGAGAGATGAGAAGCACTGGACCCACTTGTCTGTTTAGAAAAAAAAAACTGTGATATGTGATAATTACCTGTCCAGCAGTATCTATCAGCTTAATGTGGGTTGGGATTCCATTCACATGAACTAATCCTGGACGTTAGGTAGAGACAAGCAGGCTTTATTGCTGGGTGAAATATCTGACCTTTAAATAAAAGAGCTCCTTCACTTACCTGTGAAAACATCAAATGCAGTTTGCCTGTACTCAGTGTTGTATCCATTGAAGATGTAACTGATAACCATGCTGGTTTTTCCCACTGCTCCATCACCAACCAGCATGCAGCTCACTTCTTCTCTCATTCTGTTTGCTTTATCAGTTCTATGACAGGCCATCTTCCCTTATATTATCACTGCACTATCTTAGAATCCCAGCAGTGCGAAAGTCTATGCAGGAGTGCAGCACTAATGTAAAACATGTCTTCTTCCACCCCGGGTGCCTGTTAGTGGCAATAAAGGGAGAAGACCACCTCGATTTGAAAGAACAAAGGCGCCCAATCAGATGAGTGACCTCTTCTCAACACTTTGACTGTTTCCGTTTGATGCAGATTTACATAGTCACTCCCACCAAACACTCGATGTGACTCATCCAATAAAGGTCACTTAACTGGACGTTAAAGACGGCATAAGAGGATAATTAATTTTATTTCGCAGAGTGCTTGTTTGTAAATGTGTAAACTTAACACACACAAATTTGTGGAAGACTTTACAAACTCTATACATGCCCAATTCTGAATATACTAACGTGAACAGCTGTAGTAATAACGTCGATATTATCGCGAGAGTAGATTTACGAACTCCTAAATTCTCTTCTGTGCGGAGATGCATTATGTTCGCGCGACAGTGATGTAATACCATCGCCGGCCACTAGAGGGCAGTGTTGCTCCAGCATGGAGCGGGTACTTCACGGTGCTTCACTCAGGTGCAGTTTCTTGATTTCGTGAAACGAACCAGAAAAGGTAATTATTCTGACTCATTCACAACTATTTTTTATTTTCTGAAGTGACAGAAAATAAGCTTACCGTTTTTTTTTTTCATTTTAATATTCCTTTAATCAGTACACAGCGAAATATTCAGCACCCAGAAGCTCCAAACAACATTTCTCAGGCCGGTTTGTTTTCATTGGGTATATACATTACATTTCAATACCAGCTTTACTCTTCCACGCAAAGAGCAAAGAGCAGAGCTGAAGGGAAGTAGTGGAGGTCATTGTTTGTCATCAAGTCCAGTTCATAGTAGTGACGTCAGGTCCCATCTGTCTTTTTTTTTTTTCAGGGTGACTGGGTTCATAAATACACACACACACACACACACACACACACACACACACACACACACACACACACACACACACACACACACACAAATCCCAAATATATATTTTTTAAATCTCATATTTACATTTCCTCTGTTGCAAACACACTCATACAGACTGCATCTGCAATTCAGCGACTTCCACATCTGCAGAAACTCAGCATATTACTCTGCTAGTATAACTAATCACAGTACGTTAAAGGAGCTCACACTGATAATTCTTTGATCACATGCTGGCCTTAGTTCAGGGGAAACTGCTTAATTGTGAAGTCTGTAGTTTGTCTGAATTCCCATCATGCATTTGATTTGTGTTTCTAGGCAGAAATACCAAATGCATTAAATAAGTTATTTAAAGCATTTTAAGCCTGACGTTATGGAAGTTTTGACCAAATACAAAAAATCATAAATTAATAAAACTTTGGCTTGGAAAACCTCTTCTGCACAACTGATTTATAATTGGTTTATAATGCAGCTGGAGTCATTTTCTTATGATCCAGCATCTAGATTACATTACGCCACACTTTTAAGGCCAGTCTCTGACCTTACAAAAAAGCCATTATGGTAATATTAGTAATGTCTGCAAAAATAATTGGTTATTATCTTACTGTACTTTTCCTTAATTGAACTTGCTATTGCAGTCATGTCTTGTTGCAACATTTGCACTGAGCCTTGAGCTTGTTTCCCTCGCAAACAATCCAAATTTTGCACTCCAACATATCACAGCTGTACTGCAGAAGAATTGTACCAGCAAGCGGCGCAACATATTTTAGAGCCCGGGAAACGTTTGGGGGGTTGAAACTGCAGCTTTAAACAAAGTGTTGCTCCTTATCTGTCTGAACCTGCAGGAAACTCTGTGAGCATTGTGTTGTAAGGTCTCTGCTTCCTGTTTGCCGTTGTTTCTCACTTACTCTTTCTCTTCTCCCTTTCTCTCCCCCCTTTTCCCACCACCTGCGGTGCGAGTGATAGAGTTTATTCCCCGTGGTAGGAGGACAACATCTGGTCCCCACCCCACCTCCTCTCCATACAAATCATTCTGCTTGCTCAACTCCCATGCTACACCTTTGACAGCTGTGAGTCACAATGTGCTGTTCCTTAATCCAAGGTAAATGTCAAATGCAGGAAGTCGTCTTTAAATACCCTTGCATCCAAAGATTGTTTTTCTGTAACTTTCTTTTATCATCTCAGATCTGTCACAGAGCTTTTCAAATAGAAGCAAATGTCTGTGAAAGGCTTGCATCACCCTTAACTCGTGCAGCAGATGTCAGCAGAGTGTTAATGGCTCAGTGTCCTGGGATGCATACGTTGCTATAAACATGTTTAGTCTATGCATTCCCACGGTCTATTTTTGTATAACTAGACATGCAGAAGTGAATACCGACATAGATTTATTTAGGTAATCTGCTTAGGAAGAGACTCTCTGTGTGTGTGGCTTAGGAGAGCCCTCTGGCATGCATAGAGCTCACTTCAAATTCCACACCTTCAATATGTAGTGATAAATCTTGTCAGTGTGCTCTGACTGCAGTCTATTTATTTAAAGGCATAGTTTGAGATCAGCACAAACGCATCCGTCTCGACCCAAACTATTAGCCCAGTATTTTAAAAATAAACTCAACATCTGCCTGCACTTCCTGTCTCATATCAAATCTGACAACAATAGGGAATCTCTGCCAGATAGGTGTTAAAAGATTATGCTGCCCCCTAAGCCGGAGCTCAGCATGGCACTCTCAGGCCACAAAACAAGTGGCTGATGCCGACATGGATTGATAAACAAGCCATTTGCATAACATTTCCTGTATCTCATTTTAAGTAGATGAGGATTAGAGCAGGAGGGGTGCATCCATCACACTCCACATAACAGGAACACTTTACCTTATACGTCATTAAACTTAAGTTGTTCTAGTATAAACCACTGTTCTCTGAAAAGTCCAATTATAAACACTCACAAAACAGTGCTTTGTGTGTTCAGTCTTCTCCGTGCGGCCCTCACTAACATGCTCCACTCTGAATCTATGAGAAAACCTAATCTAGCAGCTGTACTAAATACTTTAATAAATGCTAACTCCCAAAGCAGATATGCCAGACAATCATAAAAACTAACATGCTAAGTTAAGGAGGTACATTTTTGACATAACTTACTCTATTGCTTCAGCATATTAGTATAAAAAACACAACCTCGAGGTCTCTGTCCAGAAGAGCGAAGCTTGAGGAACTCACACGTACCAGCTCAAGGAAGTGAAAGGAAGATTTCGTCCTGATGTTGTTGACACCATCTCAAAACTTTCAACTTTTTATTAGCGCTAGACAAAAATGACGAAGGAAGTCTGTGCCAGGCACTGTTCATATAGTAGGAGTGACCTTCCAGTTTATAAATGAGTTTCAGACCTGGACTTGTTTTTAGTAGTGCAGGGATAGTAGGGAGCTGGGTTAGTGTGATGATACCGCTTCAGTTTTTTTGCGGCCCTCTTCTCAGTGAATCTCAAATTCTCGCACCTTATGCTCACCACACAAAGTGATTCACGTTGAGACTTGTGTGGATTTCGTCTGTTCTGCACATGACCCTTGCTTGTATTCTTGCCTTGTTGCCAGTTATTGAGATGCACTGTGGTATCAGTGCATTTTCAGTTAATCTGGATTGACATTGTAGCCATTTGGATCTGAGCCAGCTTATGGTAAGTCATCCTGCCCCAATTTTTAAGTAAAGCTTAATGATTTTGGGGGCTTTTGTTAGCCAGCAAGAACCCATGCCAATTTAGTTACCTCTGCTCCATTAAATCCTTGCTGGGGTCCAGAAGCAGCAGACTAATCCCACTTTACCCTCCAGAGAGCATCGTAAGGGGTCTGTCCTCTGCCCTCAGTGAAAAAAGAGCTGCTCTCCCATGAACCTGTTCAAAAACTAAAAAAAATATTTATTTGTCTGCACCATGGGAATGTGGATTATTAACACACATTTAAAAGCCCTGAAAAATGTTTTCTAAATCATCCTCTATGCAAAGTGGCTTTAGGACAAGTTGATGAATTTCTGTAGATATCGATTGATCTTCTTTCTGCAACACGTTCTCGCTCCCAAAGCGTAACATTTTACGCTAGGTGACAAATCGTCAACATATTACGCTTTCGGCTACCCACCACGTTCCTAAATGACGACCTCGGAAAAAAGAGGACATGAGAACCGTCTGGACTCCGTCTACACATGTTCGCTCTTTTTCTTCAAATCGCTTCGAAACACGCTATTTAACATCATTATAGTCCTGGTTAAGATCAGGAATAAGGTTATGGTTAGGGCTGGAACGTCCATTACCGCGAGAGCGTCATTGCACTGGATTCCAGCCATAACCCGCCGCGTACCATAAGAACGCCGAAGGTCTCCTTTCGCGTTCCTCAGGAACGCTGCGGGACGAGACAAACATGTTACGCCTGCTGGGACTTTACATGAGTCACAACTGAGCAATATTAAAACTATGAGAAGATTTTGTTGTCTGAATTAAAAATAAGAATTAGATCACTCTAAGAAGGATAAATAATAGCTTTCTTTTATGTTGATTCACATGCATTTAATCAATATTTATGGATGTTATATCGATATTTGCAGAGAAACGTTTAGTTTAAACTAGCTCATGTGCAGCCTGGCAGTTACACATTTACTAGCTTTGTAGATATGAATGAAAAAAAATATTGAATGAAGTTCTAAAAATCAGTCAGCTAATGCTGATATTTCCACACAGTGGACTCCATGGTATAGTTTTGAAATTCCTCGGAACTTAGTTGAGAATACTGATACTGAACTTACATTTATGCAGTACGTATAAAGGTACGGCCAGCAGGTGACCTGGCTCCGTAACAAAAATATAAGCTGAGCTAATATATGTTTTTCCTAAAGTACAAATGTGGGTTTACACAGGTTTCTGATTTTTTTAAAGATGCTGGTATATATTCTAGTTTTCACACACTTCCACGAGAGAAGGATGAAGAACGGATCAGATCTGAACAAA